TTTCAAACAGCGAAAACGCTCCAGCTGCAAAACACGCAAGACCATGATGCGTGCTTGGTGATGAGAAAGAGCGAGCACAACAGCTTGACCCTCTGGAAAGGAGCATCCTAGCAAAGCAAGAGGATCCCGCCAGCCTGATGACGGCTGCGCGAACCCGCCTACTCTATTCGTTTGCGTGGGGTTCTACAGAATTTAATTCTATACATGCTGAAAGGTCAGCAGAACAGACGCCGGTGTTGGCACTTACTGGCTTCAAAGAACCCGTTTGCTAGCCTTGTGGCTTCCTCTGCGAACTTTGGCACCCTGAAGAGTTTCCTGGGGAGTTGGGTTTCATCCGTTGCTGATTGTGCAGCACTTCTTCTTGCTGCATGACGCGCTTCAGCGGCTACCATTTCGTCTGCAGGACTGTTAGACCCTTCGGCTGCACCGACTGAATCGTTGATCTTCGTTTCGAGCATCACTATGGCCGACTCGTAGAAGATGGAGAGGATGTCAGCAATGTATGACTTGAAGTACTTGAAATAATATTTCAAAACGCGCACCATTTGAATGATCAACCGTTTTGTATAGTCGTAATGCCTCTTCTCGTAGGTCTCCACAAAACGCCGGTTCTTCCTGCAGCTCTGCGCCAGCAACTTCATCTTTTGCACCGTTGTAAGGGCCTCATCTCCTCCTGACGCCTCGGGGTGAGCGTTATCGAAGAACTCCAGTGCATCTTCTAGCAAGTTCTCCACAGATGCGTCCGCAGCAGGCCTTTCCTGTGGCGCACCCTCTGCGTTCTCCGTGGGGGGCTCCGTGGCGCGGTCCAAACTGCCACTCTTGAGCGCTTCACACGCCTGCACGTATGCCATTGCACTTTTTCTGTATCTCCTCACCAAGCTGAAGAAAGCACGACCAAATTCGGCTCCTCCGATGAATAGACCTTCGGCGAGGGCCCACGATCCCCCGGCGCCTGATAGGGCACTCTTGATTTCCTCAGCCTCCGTGTACTGTTGCTGCACGTCAACTGCGTGCATTTGGAAAAGAATGGTAGTGAGAACGACTGCCTCTCGCTTGAACAAACGGTCTATGACGCCCTGGCCCACCGGGTCTCCCCTCATGGCTGCGAACAGACAGACAGAAATTTCTTTGAACTTTTCTGAACTTTGACTGCCCCTGTTGCTGTATCCCTGCATCATGGTCATACATTGCATGAGTACAATAGAATATCATGGCCCCCAACCCATGCTCGTTACTCCTGTTTATATTCTTTATTATTTAGTGTTCATCATACCGATTGTTTTTGACCTGAACATTTGAAAGCCACGCGCCCCGCGTCTGGCCAAGCGGAATACAGGCTTGATCGCGCTGACAGCTGCTTGTATGATTCTTGTTTTGCAGATAATACCGATGAGTAGCGCAAATATGCCCTTGAAGTTTATCAGCGATTGCTGGAACACCAGGAAGTATGAACGCACGAGCCCCTTCATAATGCTCCCAAGGATACCCCCGGGGTATACCACAGTGTAAGGCGCAACGGTGTTCACACGGTAGGCGAAGGAGAAGCAGCTGCTTTTCACTTCACTCGTGAACAAACCCGAAACACCACCAATCACCTCTTCGAACCCGTGAATGACCGTGTTACGCAGAGTCATGAGAGGGTGGTTGAACAGACTCTCAGTCCAGGAATACAGAGGGAGTGCTGCAAAACACCAACACACCACCTAACAAACACTTCCTCCCATACATATATCCTTTTCCAGAAGGTCACCAACTGCTCAGCAACTACCTCCTCTCGGCTTTGCAACATGTGGTGCACCCTTCCTAATTCAGCTGCTTGGGGAACCCGAGCACTCGCAGGGATCGGCGAGCCTCCCTTCGGCAACCAAGGGGCCCAGGAGACCCTTGCAGGGGAGAGGTGTCAGTGGTTTCTGGTTGGGTGTGCGGGCAGTGTGCAGAACTCTTAGACCCTCACTTTTTGAAGCCATAATCAGTTCAAGCGCCGCGGTTCCCGCTTTAGCCTGTTGCAGGGCCTGAGTCAACGCTCCGAAGTGTTTCTGGTAGTTTCGGCGGCCAGAGCCCAAGAGACGAGACCGCAGAGGGAAAACCCGAGAAAGCGACTCCTTAGCAAGCAGCTTCGCTGCGCTTGATGGCTTCGCTGCATGCGAAAACGCATTGAAAAAGGAACACTTTTGCCTCTCCACAACTGCTTTTCATGTTGCTGCGGCAGCTGCTGCTGCGCTGAGGGCTCTAACAAAGGCTGCAGCAGATCT